TGTGTCGGAAGTTGTCACCCCATCCCATACTCACCATTTCTTGGATCATCTGGATTGCTGGTGTCATAATTGGTGGTATTGCAATTCCAACATGGCATATTTTTTATATTTTAGATTTTAGGCATATTTTAGATCTGAGGGTGGAATAAGCAAGATGGTGCTGATTCTCACCTTATGCCATCACTTCTATTACCACATGATGGTTATAGGGTGCATACAGTTTTTCCAAAACTTTTGTGAATATCAGTGAAGTGATCATCACAGCAATGGTGTGTAAGCAGGAATTGCCTATGTTCATGCATGGCTGGCAGATGTATCTCATGAGCCAGTAATTTTGAACCTGAATAACATGCTAGATAATATTAAGATTTATCACATTGAAATGTTAGTTCACAAACTCCATGGGTGGAGATTCTGCACAATTGATGAATCAGCTGTATTATGTGAAATGTCATATGCTTGGGTTCAATAAATACATTACAAATATTTTGAAATGCTGTTTGTCAGCTATGACTTACTTTTGGTTTTCAGATATTTCATGTTGAATTTCTTGCTGGAATTTTGGAGGAAGCATTTTCCTGTTCCTATCAACCAGCACACTCAAAAGAGCTTTATAGCTGTGCATGAGCACAAAAGTGCTATACATACTATACTCAGAGAATGTGAATTGCTTTGGTGCAGCTGTGAGTAAATAGTTTCCAAGCAGTGACAGCTATGCCATCACAGTGTACTGCATTTAATGGACTAAAGCTATGATATAATTGTGTCATATGAATTTTATATGATGTTCAGTGATCAGCTAATACATTGTCATTGCTGTAAAAGACTGGTAACTTGTGACAAGATATTACATTTTTTGTAAAAGGTGCTCCCATCAGGTATGATTTGGTCAGTCCAATTTCCCCTTAAAGACTGCTTTTGATGGCATCACTTCTATTCAGCACTAAGGGAAACCAGTTTTCTGGCAAACCACTAGCACTGGCCAATTAATAAAGGGATAATTTGCATCAAAAAAGCTGAAATTATGGTCACCTGTGTGAGGCAGAACAGTTAGCTATGGGCTGCTGAAGTATTGCCACTTAACACTTTTTTGTTGGATGGGTCTTGCCCCTTGCCTCCATACACTGAGCAAGTGGGCTATGGTTGATATTGTAGTGTTGCTTAGTAAGATTATGCTGTTGTATAGTATGCATGTGCCATATTCACTTCTGGTGCACCCAGTGTGAAAGCTTCAACCTGGCAGAATTGAAGCATGTTTATTGAATTTGTGTTGTGTGGGTCTCTCCAGAGCATTGCATTATTGGGAGCACTGCCCACTGCAGCACTGAGCTGCAGGTTAGGAAAGCAAGAGCAAGCAAGTTCTTTACCTCTCAACTGAATGTTGTCTCACAGTTGTGCTTCATGGCCTTAAATAGCCTGGCCAGTCATGCTTCTGATGACCTCAATCCCCTGTGGTGCCAACCATTGCTTGCAGCCTCATGGAGTTTTCAGAAACGATTGGCACAGCTATTTGAAATCTTCTGCTGTAGGGTTCCTAAGGTGCTCACATCTGTGATTGTCATGTTAGCATGCCCTGCAGCATGGCAGCATGAGCAAAATTGAGCATCCTCGATTCAGGGAGTCACAACATTTGCAAGTCACATAAAATCAACAAGACTCTGAGCAAGATCTTGACAGCTGGCACTGTAGCGGCATGGTGTCGGCACCATTTGCATGGCAGAGGAAAGGGTAATCATATGTGCAGTACTGTTCATTCTTATATGCAGGCCATGAATGTGCGGTCGTAGGTCAGGGATCCGACGGTTTTGGTCTTCTTAAGGACGAGTGTCGGAGCCTGCTGGCTGGGGCAGGTAGGGAGTTGAGAGCAAGGAGATTGTGAATAGCATGGATGCATCAGCCACCTTCAAATTGCCTGGGCCGTTCAGAGACGCGAGACCTGCAGCTTGGCGACATGGACGGGGGCCGGACGCTGTCGCCTTCCGAAGTCCTGTCACGAGTGCAGCCAGATACCTCCAATCCGGGCGGAATGTGGGCGATGGGCTGGACGAACAGCACCAGTGGGAGGTCAGGTCGACAGAGAGATGCCGGGGCCGTCTGGATACCTTCGGTCAGATTTTCGCGTCAGACATGACAGGTGTCATGGCGGTCTCCTTATGAGTCTGGCTTCTCTCGCGTGTGCCTGTCAGACGAGACGCCACGCCGGTCCCGTGTTGACTGACGGGGTTTTTGCAGGGCGCTGCCACCCTGCGTTTTGGCGCCGATGATGTGGTCAATTTTTTCAGATTTGCGGGAAGCATCCCCGTGCCCCTCTTGCCCCGCCGCCGCCCCCACCCCCACCCGCCGAACGCTAGCACCGCCTTCGCTGCTTGCACTGCTACATGGAAAACTGAAGGGAGTCGTCGCCGGCGATGTTGCGAGTTCATTATCATTGATCGTAAGCATTTAAAGGTGCCGCACATACCCAAACGCCATTTCATTGTTACCGTCGACCGCAAACTTAGATGATTTGCTGGGTCGCCTCCAGAAAAGGTTCTGCATAGTCCGCCTGCGTGGCCCGGCGGCGTGGCGCAGTCTTTAAACAGTTCTAGTAAAATGCATTGAACTGCGAGCGTGAATTATAGCCGGCCTTTGGGACGTATCGACAGCGGCGCTCGCTGTTCGCCACGGGGACGGACGGGGCTGACAGCCGACATCTGACGTACTGCGAACCCACGCGTGCATGCCGACCAGCAGGACGCCGTCCCCGTTTACACGCTCCGGTGGCCTTCGATAACTGTAAGGCGAGACATGCACTGATCCGTGCACCGCCGCGGTGACATGCCATGTTCATCGGGGAGGCCGTTCGTGGTTTCAAGGCATGCACTGCGATGCAGGGATGCGTGCATTGCGTTGTTGGCATGCCATTTAGACGTGATTTTGGTCTTTGGAGACGGGTGACCCACGATGTGTGGGTCATTGGAGACGGCCTGTGGGATGTCGGCGTTCGCGCATGACGCATGGCTGCGGTATCCTGGCGGCGTCCGGGCGCCGGGTCCCGTGCATTCCGTGGCGTCTTGCCTCCGGGTCCGCCGCGGTGCAGCGCGAGTCGCAGCCAGCGGCGCGTTCGACCTCGGCCGGAGCGGCGGCGGCGCGGCGAGATCTGGTCTCGCGGCGAGGCCACGCCCCGGCCGTGTTTGTCTCGGCTCCCGCCGCGTTAGCTCGCGTCACTTGTGTGGATGTATGTCTGTGTGTATGTGTGTGTGTGTGTGCGGCGGCTGCCCGTCAGCTCGGCAGGGGTGCGGCGGAGGTCGGTGGCCGGCCCGTCCTCCGCGGCCGCCGCTGAGTCACGCCCCGCCGCCGGCCGCATACGTGTGGCGGCCGGCTGCGCGCCCGGCCCGCCGCCCGTGACCTGGCCAGCCGGCGACAGGGCCCGGCGCCGCTGCTGCCGAGCGGCGCATGCCAGGACAGCCGCCAGGCGACGTTGCGGTGCAAGAGAGATGAGTGTAGTCGTCGCTCTGAATGCGGACCGAGAGGCCAGGGGAGGCAGCACTTAATCAGGAAAGGAGAGAAAGGGACTGGATGGGTCCCGACGAAGGTAAACAAGTCACTGCCTCCGTGGGAATGCGGCGGGTGTTGAGCTGGGGGGTTAGAGGGCTGTATCTCGGCTGATCAGCTCGGCGGATGCCTCGGCAGTGGCTCGTGCCCTGTTGCGCTGTAGTTCGGCCCGTGCAGGGCGAGCGTCCTTTGTGTGCCGGGCGGAGGGCGCCGTCCGGTCACGGCCCGCGCGCCGTGCCTTTGTTGACCGCTCAGCGGCCGTCCCTGGCTTCGGGAGCGACTGGCGCAATCTGACTCAGCTGGACGGCCGGCCGGCAGTTTTTGCCTCGGGGCGCTCACGCTAATCTCCGGACGGCTGTTGCTGGCGAAGTTGTCACCCGAGTCAACAGGCCAGCGTGTTGGGCCGATCCATCTCACGTCGGGAGTTTGTGTAGGGAGACGGCACCACCTCGGCAATCAGCGCCGATTTGCCCAAATCAGAATAAGAACTTGACTTCGGGCATATGGAGCTGTCCCGGCCGGAGCTTGCAGCAGTGTCGTGCCCTTTCAGGTGCAGGACGATTTTGTTGTTTTTTTTTTCTTCAGCTAGCAGTACCCCATTATTGGTGACAACTGAGTTCAGTGTGTTTGCAAAGTGCGCGATGAGACAGCTGCTGAAATGAACGGAGAATTCACATAACTTATGTTCGGTTCCACAGCAACAACAAATAACAAAGAGCTTCCCTAAAGTTCTAACGATTCGTTTGTTTGCTTTGGTTGGCTGTCCCGCGGGCTGCTTCGCGGACAGCCTTCAATGAATGGTTTAGTGCATGATTTTAACATTGCACGGCGTCTGGGTGCGGTTTCTGCTTTCAGTTGTAGAGCCGGATTTGAGCCGACATCATCAATTACAGCTAAACACAGTTTTCAACCGGATGCCGGTACGAATAAATCGGATTCCACCATAATGCTAGAGTCGTGTAGCCCGATTTTTTTTTTTTTTTGAACGACTGGAACATGTCGTTTTGCAGCGTTGCACTCCGGTGATGCTCATGTCATTGCACGTCAGTTATGCTTTACGCCATGTGCTTATGGTGGTTTATTATTGTAGTTGTGTCAGCTCATCGGTTTCTCGCTGTACACGTCTTTAGAAAGACAACTCACAAGTCATCAGAGATCACTTTATGTGTCTTTGGTGCTAGTAAGGGTCATATCGCTGCTGGTTTTTCGCTCCCCACGGGATCAGTGACGGCTTCTCCTTCACCCGGGTCCCCGATCCCTGATGTCCCTCATCGAGGCGTCAATGCAGGCGACACGGAAGTGGGTGGGGGGTCGGCACTGTGTGCGGACGTCTCCTCCACGGGCTGGCCTTGTGGGCTGCCCTGCTGGCACTGCGCGTGTGCGGCCTCGGACAGTCGTGCCTGCCCGCCTCGTGCGTCGGCTCCGGCCGGGAATGGAGTGTGACCCATCTCGTCTGTCCCTCGCAGACGCGTGTGATGGAGATGGGCGTCGCTGCAGACTACGCTGCCGCCAATGGCTCGGCCATGGACAAGGCGGCCAAGTCGCCCAAGGTGAGCTGCGATGACCGTGGCCGGCGGCTGGGCGCGTGCGGGGCTGTGTGCCGCCCCTCACGCGGTCGGGGTCTGGCGTGGCGCCACGTGTTGCTGAAGGGGTCGTCAGGCGGAGGGCGGCGGCCCCGATACAGCTGCCGGCAATGCGAAAGGCATTTGTGGCGATGAGCACAGCACGTTTTGAATGATTTGGGTGTTCCTGCCGCTGGTACGTGAACGTGCAGCCACTTTTGGTAAAGCCATCGCGCAATCCCGTTTCCTGTGCCTGAAACAACATCGAGGTGTTTCGTGGATGCAACTTACGGCACGATGTCCATGTCTCGCCATTTGTGCGTACTGTTTTGCGTTTTGCTCTGATGACGTTCCCGCCGGCTGCTGGTGCCGGCCGCCTGCCTGGCTACGTGCTGCCCTCTCCCCCGGCGGCTAACCTGTGAACCCTCCCCTTATGTACTGGCCTCTGGCGGCCAGCCCGCGAGCCATCTGCCGCCGATGTGCGGACCTCTGGCGGCTAGCCTGTGAACCCGTCCCTTATGTACTGGCCTCTGGCGGCCAGCTCGCGAGCCATCTGCCGCCGATGTGCGGACCTCTGGCGGCTAGACCGCGAGCCCTGCCGGTGTGGTGGCCCTCGCCATGGGCGACAGCCTGTGAGCCCTCTGTTGATGCCCTCCGTCCCCGCGGCCAGACGGTCAACTTCGAGCAGGGTGACGACCCGGCTGACGGCCGGAAAAAGTACCTGACGGCCAAGTACGGCAGCCACCAGATGGCGCTCATCAGGAAACGGCTCACGGTCGAGATGTGGCTGCTCGAGGAGATGGCCAAGCTGTACAGGATCGGGGTGAGTGCAGCGGGCGAGCTGCCGCTCACGAGAAAAGGAGCAGGTTGGACAGGGTCAGGGTGAGTGCAGCGGCTGAACTGCTGGTCACGATGATAAGGTCGGGTTGGATAGGGTCAGGGCGAATGCAGCGGCCAAGCTGCCGGTCACAGTGATAAGGTCAGATTGTACAGGGTCAGGATGAGGGCAACAGGCGAACTGCTGGTCACGAGAATAGGGTCTAGACTGCCCAGGGTCAGGATGAGTGCAGCAGCTGAACTGCTGGTCACGGGAATGGGGTCAGGGTGAGTGCACCGGCCGAGCTGCTGGTCACGGGAATGGGGTCAGGGTGGGTGCACCGGTCGAGCTGCTGGTCACGGGAATGGGGTCAGGGTGGGTGCACCGGTCGAGCTGCTGGTCACGGGACTGGGGTCAGGGTGGGTGCACCGGTCGAGCTGCTGGTCACGGGAATGGGGTCAGGGTGGGTGCACCGGCCGAGCTGCCGGTCACGAGGATAAGGTCAGGGTGTGCAGGTACGGGGTGAGTGGGTCAGCGGCCGGGCTGTTGTTCCGGCGAGTGCGTTTGGACTGTATTATGTCGCGGTGAGTGCGGCGGCCGTCGAGCAGGCCAGCGGCGGCTCATAGTCCACTGAACCGTGATGAAATGTGGCAAGCTGCGGCTTGGCAGGTCTGCCGTTGATATCGCTTCTACAGCAGGAGCGGGGTGCTCCACTGGCAACTCTGTTTTTGCATATCAAGTAAAAATGCAATGTTTTTGAGACGGTACTGCATTTGGATTCCGTGTAAGCGTGTTACTTTAAGGATCTACGATTCGGTGTGCTTTGTGTGCGGCATGTGGCGTGATGGGCTTTCTGCAGTGTGCCTGCAAAGTGGATGATTAAGCCCACCGCCGATGCCCTTGGATTATCCGCATTGTGAGAGCTGTCCGGTCCGTTTCGAGGCGGCTGCTCGTCAGCCGGCTCCATGCGGTCCCCTCGAGCCGTGCGACTGACCCCTCAAGAGCCCGCCCGCCGCCCTCAGGAGTCGTCCGCCGCCCCGGAGAAGGAGCTCGACCTGGACGAGCTGCTCGACATCGAGGAGGACGGCCGGCGCCGGCTCTTCCTGCAGCACTTCCTCAGCGACGCGGCCGCGCCGCCCGACGCCGTCAGCGTGAGCAACTGGCCTCGGCTCTGGCGGTCAGACGGGCGACCGAGGCCGCTCTGGCAGCGGCCCCAGTCTCGGCTGCCCGACTGGCCTTGTGCCATCGGCACCTTCCAAATGTAGTGCCCCGCGGGTTGTGCTGAGATGATAGTCGAACAGTCCTAGTGTAAGCGAAAGTGTGGGGTGTCATCTAGTGACCTTTGGCTGCGTCGGCCACTCAGAGAACCCAGTGAATCACCCGATGCTCTGAAGGTGTGTCGGAGAGCTCACGCCTCCGCCGGGTGCCCATGAACACCGGAGACCCCGTTGATGTCCGCCTTGGCGTAACGGTCTATTTTTGATCAGAGGCGGCACCTCCCCTTCGCGCGGCGCCTTATGCAATCGCGTGACCATGCCTGCGCGGTGAACAACCTTGCTGTTTTTTCATCATGATAGGCATATTGACGTGCCTTATCCGCATTCAGGCCAGCTGAAGGTTACGTACACCAATTCTGTTGTATCAGATGCCTTTCTAAACGCCACGGATGTTTCTCCGCTGAGCTCACCGCATAAAGTGGACGTCCCGTCTGTGTCGGGAACTTTTGCGTTTGCATCGCAACTGTCTGAACCCGTACAGCTCTCGCTGAGACTGGACTGATCGCTGAGAAGTGAGACCGCCGCCCAGTTCGGGCTTCTCGTCGCCCCTCCAGCGCGCCGAACGCCGTGTTCAAGCGGTCGCCCTGACAGGCATGCTCTTCACAGAGATTCATCGACGAACTGCTGGTGCAAGCGAAGAAGCTTTGATGGCGCCGCCCCGGTCGTGTGTAGACCGGAGGCTGGGCGCGTCAGCCGGAGCGCCGTCCCCGCTCCCGCCGCTGCGGCGCCGCGGCCCTGACCCCGGTCAAGGCCGGTGGGATCTCAGCGCGGTCCGCTCGGCAGCCGTCCCCGGCCGGCACCTCGGCGCGTCGGCCGTCTGTCGGCTGGCGCCTGAAACGGGCCCGCCTGCCCGCGCGCTGCTGCGCCCTGTGACAATCGGCGGCGGCCGCTCGGCGACGCGCGCGCCCTCTGCGGTGGCGCCACGCCCCAGCGCTAACTTTTGTCATAGCGGACATCGTGTCTAGTCTTTCTGCAGTCTGCTCTCACCGCGCCGTTGTTTTTAAAGCTTTTTACCGTCGGCCGATGTTACCGTGCCGTTTTTTTGTGGCGCCGCCCTTGTTTGCCGCTCTCGGGAGCCTTTACATCCCACCCGAGCGGCGCCCGGCCGCCGCGGGCGGCGCCGCGCCGTCCTGCCGCCCTGCCGGCGCGCGCGCGCGTCACGCTCTTCCGGAGCCGTTCTGTGATGAGTCGGCGCCATTCCGATCTGCGCGTGCGGTGCGCGCCGCCCGGCCGCGCGCGCTTTCTCGATTGCTCACGGGTCTTCCCTGGGGATGGCCGACGCCCGGCCCGACGCGGGCCGCGGCGGTCGGATCACACCCTGGCAGCGGCGGGGTCCGCCCTCCTTCCGCGCCGGCCCATGTGTGTATGTGTGTATCATCATAAATACACCTGTGTGACTATACGTGGCGTGGTTGTTTGCTCGGTGCGGCAAAGCGGGGTCGCTGATTTGTTTCCAGCTGTTGGTGCGGTGGTGCGTCTCGGCTAGTTCAGCCTGGACGGGCCCGAACTGTCCGGCCGCAGTGCGGCTCGCCGATACCGCTCGCCGGCTTACACGGAAAACGCTGGCGCCGTCCCTGGGAGTCAGCCCGTCCCTCCCGGTCACCAGCCCACCCTGCTGACCATTGTAGAGCGGAGCGCCTGGGCACCCTGGCCGCCCGTCGCAGCGGCACCGAGCGCCGGCCGTCCTGCACGCAGCGTTACTGGCCGGCTCTGGTGCGCTGACGTGTGGATGCCAACATCGGACGTCCCACTCGGCAGCCACGCCCTATGGAATGGCTCAATAACTCATGACATGGTCTTAAGCAACGACGTTCCCAGCGAACCCGTTCCCGCTTATCGGTGCTAGATCAAAGGAATTAAACCGCCCGAAGCTGGACGCCGTGCCCAATTACACTGTGGTGTGACGGTCCCCCAGCGATTGACTACGCTGATCCTGGTGACAGCCGCTGCTAGCTGCAGCCAACGGTGGGGCCGCGCTCGTGTGCGGCGAATTATGCACCTGCCGGGCTAGAGTAAAAGTGCATGCTTGTAACTTACTTGATAACCTTCAAATCGCGCTGCTGGGACCCTGGTGCATCAAGTGTACATGCGATGTTGTAGACTGGCGCTGTCTACCTTGACACGGCCAGGGACGCTACTGTCGGTGGACGTCTGGGCGGGGCCACCAGGAGTGGACGCCTGGGCAGAGCCACCAGGGGTGGACGTCTGGGCGGGGCCACCAAGAGTGGACGCCTGGGCGGGGCCACCAGAGATGGACGTCCGGGCGGGGCCACCAAGAGTGGACGCCTGGGCGGGGCCACCAGGGGTGGACGTCTGGGCGGGGTCACCAGGGGTGGACGTCCTGGCGGGGCGACCAAGAGCGGACGCCTGGGCGGGGCCACCAGGGGTGGACGTCCGGGCGGGGCGACCAAGGGTGGACGTCCGGGCGGGGCGACCAAGAGCGGGCGTCTGGGCGGGGCCAACCAGGCTGGGGACGACAGAGAGAACATTTCGAGCCAGACCGCTGTAACAGTAGGACCGCCGCTGTCGTTGGGAGGCCACGCAGGAACCCTTGCGCCACTGAGAATCTTGCGGGGCTTCAGTAGCGAAATACGAGGTCACCTGCGCCACTGCCAGCTGACGACAATCACCGTGGGATCCTCAGCCATCGGGCGGCGGCGCCGGGCAGGCGAGTCCTCCCAACACTGAAGCGCAATTACACCTATGGGTTGCAATAGTGGACCTGAATTAGCTTTTCCGAAATCCTCCTGCCCCCCCCCCCCCCAAATCCCTCCCCATTATCGTAAGCCGGTGACGCCGTATGCGCGACCATGACTTATTGCATGGCCGGCAATCGCAATAGTGCGGAAATGATTGCTGTCAGGGACGCTCCAAACACCCACTACTGCTGGAGGCCAAGATGCTCCGGTGACATGGTGTGCAGTCAACGCACGAAAATAGCTCAGTCTGCCCAATGTTAATGCGTTTTGGACTCCGGGTCCCAGGTAACCCAGTGGTGGCTACCAGGCGCGCATCCAGAACCTTGGCAGGGGGAGTGGCACAGCGCTGACAAAGAGCCTCCTGACAGTAAAAGAGCCGCCCTAAAAAATCGCCGGATGTGGCCAATTTGTCAATGAGGGCACGTTTTTCCCATCACACACACACACACACACATGTATATATATATATATATATATATATATATATATATGTATATATATATATATATATATAATATATATATATATATATATATATATGTATATATATATATATATATATATATATGTATATGTCTGTATGCATTTTTACCATTTACACCTGGAGCAAAAGCCAGACGCTACCACGATATCAATTCTGCCTGGACTTTGTAATCAATGAACTGAAAATAATTATGCGTTATACGTTTGCAGGAACTAAATCGCTGGTGGTTTTCACTTAACAATGGTCCAATGAACCTTTTTTAAACTGACAAAACTGAGAAACTAATTTCAAAATCAAATATAATCAAAAAATCTACCTGGGTTATACAGAGACATGCGAGGACACCGCGAATGTAGACCGAAGATCAAAGCGGGTCAACAATTCGTATCAACAGGGCCACATCATGTTTACCTGAAAAGATTCAATATTCAGTCAGAACATGCGCATTATGTGATGTCGTTTTGGGCATGTGCGCTCGCATATCTCAGCAACAAAAACCTCAACACCAGGTGCTGCAGTCTCCAAGGACTGCGTAGCGTTGGTCCCGCGGCTAACACTACGCCGCGTCTAACAGGTGGGCGAAAATGATGACGCAGTTGAAAAAGCACCTTTAAAAGCTTAAGGACACAAAGTTGTACGTTTAGAGATATTTCTGGATATATGTTATTTGTGCCATGTTTATACTTATGATAAGAGCTGATTGGCCCCCACAGTACCTGGAAGAAGTGCTGGAATCTGGTCTTGTAACTGGCACAGTAAAGGTAGAATCTCGCTTTTCCGTGTTGCTGTAACTGTAGCCAGAGGACAACCTCACAATTATGCAAGAGATTCGCTCAGTCTAGCCTTTGAGCATAACGAATCAATTTTGAACGACATTCAAAAACATTATTTTACGATGGTTGTTGTGCGCAGGGCGCCCACCACTTGGTCTTACTTGCAATGGCCAACGCTAATCAGCTTTAGGGGAACTGTAACTCCGGTCACCGCTGTGCTTGCTACCCGGGAGTGACGGGCATGTCATTGGGATTTGAAGACGCACTCATCAGCAGCTTAGGCTACATGGCACCGCCTGCCTCTCACCCTGGCAGGAAGGGGGGGGGGGGGGGGTACTGCAGGGCATTGAACCCCGTGCCTCTGGTTTCCCAGGCGCGCAGTGGTTAGCGCAAGCATGCTAACCACCACGCTATAGTCAACCGACGCTCAGGCTCAAACCTTTCGATGTTTTTTTCATTTCACTAGTTGATTTTGCAAAAGAAGGAACGTTCTCAGGCAAAAATGCGATGACCTTGTGCGTTTTTTTTTTCTCATTTCGGCTCCCTCCATTCAACACAAACGAGGCCTCATGCTTTTCCGGGAAAAGGCCCCTTAAAGGGAACACTACGGGGCACGTTAGTGTTCTCGTTCAAGAACTGTAGGGCCACTCTGTCCCACCGCGCTGTGTCTTCCGGCCGCCATTCTGGCGACGAGAAGCGGGATCCCCTATCCGACCCGGAGGCCCTTAGAGGGATACATCATATCACATTGGTCCGCTCCCTGACGCTGGAGGCCTTCTGACCTGCGCCGTTGGCTCCGGATGAACGCAGAAACCCCCATTGATGCAACAGATCCCTGATCACCGCAGGTGGTCAAATGATTGACACGAAGACTTCAGTTCGGTTTAATGGGCCCATGCTGGCATTGGGCCGAAAGGCCCATCGCTTGTTATTGGGATCCTGGCTGGTATAGGACCCTTCCGTTGCTTCAATATGAGCACTTACAATAAGTTCTCATGTCTCCGTTCAGTGTCAGAGGGCCCCGACCAACGCGAGAGAGACTCTGCCGCTCGGGCTCCCGTCCCCATTGGTGTTGAGCAAACCTTACCCCTACCGATTCGAGGCCGCTTGTTGGCGCAGAATACCCTGTTAGGCACTTTAAATTTTAACTGAACAGACATCGCACATCACGCACCAGGTATCACTTACGCATGTAAACGATTTAAGCTAGAACACATCACACATAAAGGCACATATTACGTTTGCATGATCGGCCATGAGTCCCGCATGTTAAGAAGTGGCCACCAATTTTTTATAAGAATAGATTCACTTATTTCCTGTTTGGGTGGGCCTGCGCTCTGTAGATGACTGGGCTCTAAAAGTGGCATAGGGTCCATACTTTCCTCGATTTCAGCCTTAGCGTGTTTTGCCGGAAGTGTGAAAATGTAGGTGCGATGCTTATTCAATTGAAATCGTTTGCATGTATAATTGATGCGCGATGGGTGATGCCTGTTTACTTCAACTTGCTTGCATGTTTGAACGAAGCGTGATGTGTGATGCCTATTTGCTTGAATTTGTTTGCATGTACACATATGTTCGCGTATTCTAATTTTTAGATAGGCACTGTATCGTGGTAATGGCTGGCAGTCGCTCTTTGGATCCCCGGAATGTTGGTGTCCTATAAAACCTGTGGCTTGCCCTAAAAAAAAAACATTGAAAAATCGAGTACGATTATCGGCAGACAATTTTGAATTCCCTTCAGCTATTTTTCCGATAAAGACATGTTGCCGAAATATCAACCCAACTATATCTCCATTCTCCTGGTATAATCTCCACCTACCTGGTATCTCCGAGGAATAAGGTTAATACCACTGCCTTAACTATGTGAGAAATGTTCCTCACTAATGCACTGAACGACTTACGTAATAGCTGCATTCAGTTGGAGAGATTCGAGCCCCCCCCCCCCCCGCCGATATACATACAGCCTCATCCTTCACCCGCCTCCAACCAGGCAGTGACCTCCCCCTCCCCCCCCCCCCCCCCCCCCCCCCCAATGCTAGAGATCATGCTCAGGTGGCCCGAATCCAGGTAGAGGCAGTATTTAGGGCGACATGGGCTCATCTATTTGGGGCAGAGTCATCCTGACGCAGCCTCTTGCGAACCGGTTTTGCGAAACCAGCATTGAATTGAAAAGATACAGTACTTATCATAGCGTGTCGTCTGGTACAGGTATTGGTAAATGCTTGAGCCACGTGAGACAGGGTTCATCGCTTTACTTTTGAGTCGTAAATGCCGTGCACCCCAGTTGTTCACAGTACTTGGCTCCACAAGCTTAGGAATCGGGAGCTAGGGCCTGTGTTTTTGCGTGTTGTCATGCTAATCGGGTTTAAACATGATGCAGTTGACTACAGACGATGGTCACGCTGCTGTAGTTTTGACAAAAAAAGGGCGGAAAAATTACAACCACTTTAC